CTTCATCAATAAAACATGCGACCTATGATATGTACTTTCATGTTGAACTAGGATTTAAACACGGTCTAATCAACAAACTAAGACAAAAACAAAGTTAAAATTATTAATGCGATAGAAACAGTATAACTACTAACTTGTTCTCATTCAAAGCACAGTAATCTAAAAAAAATCATACGAAAATGGACGAGATATCGTTGGAAAATGTGTTAAGGCGTTGTGGTGACTTCAGTCGATTTCAATTGATGCACTTTGCCTTGTTATGTCTCCTCGATTTTAGCAGTGGTATGACCGGATTCTACTATGTTTTTGGACTTGCCGAGCCCCTTTTCCGATGTCGACTGCCATCAAATGTATGGCCTGACGATAACCAGTATCAATTAATCAATGATACTGATCATCAATCTCTAATCGCTACGTTCATAATGAATTCATCTAACTGCCACTATGCCGATGGGTCTCAATGTAATGACTTTGTGTTTGATCGAAATGTATTTGGAAAAACATTCACAGAAGAGGCACAGTTTGTGTGCAGCAATGCAATAAAGAAAACATGGATTTCGACAGTCTACGAGATTGGAACGTAAGAAATAAATATTCTTAGTATTTGCCTTCAATTTGATAAATTTTTAATGCCACCATATAGATTCTCAGTATTACTCACCGGGCCGATTAGTGACAGAATTGGACGGAGAAGACTTCTGCAAACTTTGAGCTTGGGACTTTATATAATTACTGCTATCACTCAAGTGCTTCTCCAATTTGTCAAAATGAGTGTCAATACCAAGTATATATGAAAAAAAACACATGTCGTACAATGATAAAATACATATCGATTTTTTTTCCAGGTTCATTCTCTTGATCATCAATCAAATGGTATCTGGCATAGATCCTTATGGTATAGTTTTTCTTCTTATCATGGAATTGACATCATCTTCACACACAAGTTTTGCTGCTGGTGTTGCTATGATTGCATATACAATAGGAGAAATTATGTTCACTGGCTTTGCCTATGCAGCTCGTAATTGGCTTAATTTGAAATGGCTAATGAGCGTTTATTTTGCTGTCACTGTGCCCTATCTCTACTTCATTCCAGAATCACCCTATTGGTTGTATGGTCGAAAGAAATATGATGAACTTGAAGCTTGTTTACGAAAAATTGCCAAAACCAATAATCGTGAAGAAAGTGAATGGTATCCACATTATACTAAATTAATTGAAGAATCTCGTATTGTAAAAAAAAACGAAACCAAGGCAAAGAGAAAGAAAAGAGAAAAGGTTTTACGTTTCTTACCTAGATTGATCATGTGTGGTTGTATTGAATTTGTCACTATGTTACTATACACCAAAATTACATATGGACTAGGTGCGATGAATGATGCTTTGAGTCCTTATACGAACTTTATCATCGGAGCTGTTGTCGAAGGTATTGGTTACTTCACTGCCGGTCTTGTAATTACTACACCACTGGGAAGAAAATATTCACTGATTATGTTTGCATTGTTGACGGCGGCTTCTGTACTTATAGTCCCATTCATAACGGATTCTTATCCCGTCATAGCTACCGTGATTTCACAAATAGGTAAATATGGAGTTAGTGGTGCTGTATCAGTTTCTTGGCTTTATGTTCCCGAACTTTTTCCAACATATATGCGAGGTTTAGCTAATGGTATATTTGTCTTTGTTGGAAGTTTTGGATCGATGGTAGCACCTATTATTAATACTGCAGTCGACAAAAAAAATGATCGAATTACGCATTATGTTTATTCTGGACTCACTGTAGTATTGGCTGGTGTGATTGCTACTTTGCCGGAGACACGTCATCGATCATTTGACGATGGAGAAGAAGATGATGATGCATCTCAAACCGAAGATGATGCTGAAGACAAATATTAGATAGAAATCACGTAAACAGACACTTATATTGGAGTGGAACAGAATATACTTTCATTTTTCATATGTGTGCAAAAATTGACATGTAAAGTTTTGCATTATTACTTTTTTTTGCTTATTTATTCTCGCATTCAAAATATTGAATTTTACGAACTCATGTATAAAAGAGTATCCAATTAATGAATCAAAGGAAGAACAGATACTGACAAAAAAAAACAAGAAAAGGGAGAAAGAATAAAATCCAAACGTATGCAGTGAATAACAGATTCAAATTACTTTGTGGATGAGAATGTGAGTAAATGAAGATCTTCTGTTCATCCTCATCCACCCACAATATAGTTAGATCATCAACAACCAACGCATATGATTCAGAAATCACTACGAATCTACAAGAAATTAGTAGTCATCAAGAGAAATCTGCGTGAAGTCAGTAGGAATGGACAGATGTGATTAACAAATCAGAAGATATAAGCCGAAATTTTCGAGAAGTTAATGAAAAATCGTTAGGCTCATCAATGATCGTACAGATGGATTCTATCATCCATAATGGTTTGCAATGAGATATATAGAATAGTTACTATTTTGGAAAGTACTTCAGATGATTTTCACATGGCTTATTGTCAGTGAATGCTAGTTGCATTGAATGTAGAAGTAGTCTCGGGACTATTCAAACATGTATGCACTTGAAACGACAGTATATTGAATTCTGTCTTGTGAGTAAATCATAAACAATAGATGAGTGCGTTTTTTTGTTCGTTGTGTTCATCTCTTTTAGTACAACTGCTTCATATCAACGAACAATTCTTCGCGGTCATCTCCCTGTCACCAGCATTGTATAGACGGTAACTAACTTTAATAATGACTACGTAAATCACTACTAATGAATATTTTCGATTTGCAGAATGACGACTTGTATAAACTCGTCAAGACCGCTTGCAATTCCGTTCAAGCTGATACTCTCAAACGTCAATTCATCAGTGATTCCATTGTTTTCATCAAATATGAAAATCCATGAGAGATCATGCAATACAATCGTAGCAAGCTAAAAGACTTAAAGGATGTGCCGTGTCTAAAAACATCCTGCAGCTGATAGATAATATTTTTGGAAAATCATCGCACCTTTCAAGGGCGCTGAAGAAACGCCTCTTGAAGACATAACAAGAAGAAAGAATGTAAGTAAGATTTGTTATTATATGTGCAATAAATTCATGGAAGGGACTGAGTTACATTCTATACAAGTAAGTTTTCATTCGATAGACAAATTGTTTTTCTCTTCCATTTGAACTAATAGCAAAGTATTTCAGTTGCAAGTAATCTGTCTCTTTGATAACTAACTCTTAGCGAATGGAGACTTGGAACTGTTTAATAAAAGAATGGAAACAAAGTGAACAATTCGAAACAATCAAAAACTTTTATGTTCGCACATGGAGAGACGACTGATAGATTTAGGATAGATTGCGTATATTTGTGCGTATTTTCTTGATATTTCTTCTAGTTTTCAACCAGATCGTTGTTTGAGTGATCGTAAATCAATTTGAACTTTACCATTTTGGAAGACTAGATATCTTTTCACGTTATAGTATTTTTCGCCAACTGATTAAATTTCCTTGATTTTCTAAAAATAACTGCAATATATGGAGTTCACTCGACATAATTGTTATTATGAATATCATGAGGTTTCTTTGAACTTGAACGCTCTATCTAATTGTAATTACAACATGGAATCAAGCATAAAATGGGCGTCAACTAGTCGGTATGCAAGAGCATTTATATACAAAAATAAAAAATACAAAAAACGATGTTCAAAGATGAGTGATTTAAAATATGGACATTAGTGAGCATCTTTTCTTATGCATATACCCCTATTCGTCCACCTTACACGCGCAATAAATATTGAGTCAACACGATAAATTATGATAAAACCTCTGTGAACTCTCGGCGTGACTTTAATTCAAACCGTTCTTAGCTAAGCCCGAAATCGTTGACTCATGCTGATGCATTTTGAGTATAACTGTATCAATAAAAATAACAAAAGAGCTAGCCAATATCGATCTGCAATATGTAGTTCTCTTTCTCAAATCTCATCTTACATTCAATAGAAGATAATAATTTATTTTAAGACTCAAATTGTTTTCAGGACCAGTTGTTATACGCATCTATACTTTTATTTCATATAATACTTGATAATCACTATTTATAGAAAAAGCATCATATCATTCTTTACATCATGTACAGTTTTCTGCATACCATCGCAACCAAAAACTTCTTTGGTTAAAAGTTTACATCCTCTTTATATTTCACCACATCTTTTGATATAAAATATCTATATTTGAATAAAAACTCATGCCATTCATTACTCAATTAAAGTAATTTGTCTTGTAACGAAAATCTTCACTCAACAAAAACCCTATGTTGTCTACCGATCGCAACTACTCTAGTAAATTTAAACAATGTCTCTAATCAATAGCTTACATCCTCTACAAATTACAGTAGCTCTACTAAGCTCAAGAACTTTCTTCGATCAAAAACTGACGTCCTCTACAGATCGCAGTAACTGTTCATTAAAATTTTCTAAAACTATTTATTTTCTATGTGCGCACTTCCTAATCATATCTTTAAAAATTAACTATCAAATTCAATGGTTTTATTCAAAACAAAGCAGTGTCAACTTTGAACCATCCAAAAATACGACAGTATCATTTGTAGATGAACTCGAGCTTATCTCATATATTGTCATCGATGGAAAAGATATGAAACATCTTCCATCAACTAATAATGTATACCGACGATGGGTTGATCTATATAATGTATAATCCCAACCGCAATATGAACTACTCATGGCTTCGTCAATTAGGGTATTCTTAGTCGAAAATCGTCTTGCAATCGTCTATTTTCGAGCTGATTGCGCTTTCTTTCAAGATTTATACCAAGAACGATAATTTTGGCTTGATTAAAAGAAGCTATTTGCAGTCAAACTTCTGATACATACATGTCGACAGAATCATACATATCCAATATAAAAAAGTGAGTGGCAATACTTTGTAATAACATCAGGTACAGTTCGAATGTGAGCAGTACATAGTTCAATTCTGTTAGATGGATGAGTTATTATGAAGAAAGATGATCTTGCTTGCCACCTCTTGATACGACCCGTGTCTAAAGACATACCAACATCATTCATTCGAGATCATAAAACCTTTGGTGGTACCGTTGTCAAACTATTGCCAAGTCATGAGCATATCATTCTCGAACTTTCGGATAAAAATATTTATAAGAAATGTATTGATCAAGGTGCTTTACGTATTGACGATCATGTAGTGTTTATTGAATCTTATACATTTTCAACTATCCCTGAAAATAATGAAATTGATGCTGAAAATTGGTACGAAACAGAAATGTGCGATTATAAACCCGACATAATGCCATTTGTTTCTAATCCTTAACATCATATATTTCGACTTCAATGGAATTCAAGAGCACTTTTAGAACAGTTTCGCCGTTGGACATCGGATCAGTGTTTTATCCAGAGGGGTGCTCGGGGGGGCCGCGCCCCCCCGAAAATCGAGTTCGCCCCCCCGAAACTTGTGATCATCGTGCTATGAACACGTGGCTTGCCCTCCCGGAAATAATTTTTCGCCCCCCCGAAATTCCAAATCGCCCCTCCGGAAAAAAAATCCTGGATAAAACACTGCATCGGATGACCATAAGATTCATAGAAAAAATCAAGACAAATATGAAAACCTATGCAACCTTCAACAGCATCTATTACAAATGACAGTAATGTTGAATACGACTGGAGTAGTAAAAAGAGGTTCTTATTATATTGGTGAAAAAGAAATCACATTAAAACCGGATCGATTAAAAACTATTCTTTATAAGCATAAGTCAAAGTTGCAACATGTTAAGATAACTTTGTTGTCACATGCAACAGAATTTCCTTATGCACCGACATCGGTTAGAGTAGTCAATGAGGATTGTTTGATAGTTTACCAGGATTTAGTAAGCAAAGGCTGTCGACCAGTTCTTCTCAATATGGCTAATACGAAGTATCCAGGTAGTGGCTACAAACGAGGTAGTGAAACTCAAGAAGAGGCACTTTTTCGTCGTTCGAATTACTTTCAAAGCCTCGATCTTGAACTACATGACGGAAAACCAACGGCTCGGTTCTATTGTAATTCGAATTGTGAACTAGAATCTTTAGCTGAACATGGTACTCTAGATCCAATGGATGAGTTCGGAGCAATTTATACATTGGGATTGACAGTTTTTCGGCAACCCGAAAATACTGGCTATGCTTTCGTGGAAATACCTGTGTACGATGTGTGTGCTATTGTAATGTCTCACTATCGCGATTCAAAAGTTGAGAATAATCTTCTCACTTCAAAATATTCTATTGGTATGCGAAAAAAAAATTGCAAACATATTTGCTATTGCGTATCATCAAAAACATGCACGTCTCGTCCTATCTGTCTTTGGTTGCGGCACGTTTAGAAATCCACCAAAGCATGTTGCAGCAATGTTCAAATCAGTTATTGAACACTATGCTGGATATTTTAAATATATCTATTTTTGCTATTATTGATGATCATAATACAGGCCAAAATCTTAATCCAATTGAAAACTTTCGTCCTTTTCAAAAATTGCTCGATACTTTAGACAAAGAACCAAAACGACATAAACTTGTCGACATGATGATTGGATCTTGGCGAATTCTAAATCAAACAACTATGAAAATAACATTAAGTGATATTAGAATCTTTCATTTGAACCTATGCCTTTATGGAGAAAAATGTAATGAATTGAAAAATGAACAGCATTCTCGTGAATATTCACATCCACCTTTATGTCCATACGCACATAATATGACACCATGTAAACACAAAGATGATAGCCAACATATGCTTTGGTTCAGGCATCCTCAAAAATGTTCGTATGGTAGTAAATGTGAATTGATTGAAAATGATCTCAGACATTCAAATGAATTTGAACATCCTGAATTTTGTCCTGACCGTGGTCGTTGTGAAAACATGAATAATGAACATCGGACAATTTATCAACACGTTCCATTATATAAATTTCATCGTCAATGTGTCAATAATATTCATGGATTAAATGATCATTATCTTAGCTTTTGTCACTGAACATCAACGTATCGTTTTGGTCATTTTTGTGTAAAACTTCATTCTGATAAATATTTAAATTTAATTCATCGGAATTTCTTTCATCTGTATCAATTTTTCATCTGAATAATTATGTTTGAATATTATAACTAATAGAATATAAAGTAATCAAAAAACTCCATTTAATATAATGATTTAATTGACTATCTGAGTAAAGTTAAGACTAATGTTTGAGTATTCTTAAAACTGACAAAAAAAATCCATAGACTTTAATCTATAATAGAAAAACTAAATACCTATAGACTATGTACTGTTTAATTTATAGATTGATATCCATACAACCATATACAAACAACTATGTGTACTTCACTACATGAAATTTTTCAGTATGAATCAATAAATTTCTGACAAAACAACGGTAGGTCTGAACAATTATGAATGCTTATAGAATAGTAAAACTATATTGTCATACGAAAAGTAATTCGGTAAATGCACAATCTCATTATTTAAAATATGAGTAATTCATATTTATAGACGATCTAAATTCTTTCTTAATCATGTTAAGTAAAAACTTTTCCGCTGTTTTTTTTAATGAAAATATTGTATAGAATGATAAGCAAAATTAACGATGTTAAACTTGAAACCTCTTTTAGAATTGAAGTTTTTAACAGAATTTTTAAAATAGGCTTTTCTTTTTAATATCATAATATGTTGCAAATGAGATATAGTTAATAAGGATCATCATTAGATTTTATTCGCCTACACAAAGAAATGTTATGTGGAATCATTAAATATAAAGTAAGAGTAAATTTATATACTTCACTATCGACTAATGAATATATCTCGGTGAAATGTTATAAGTATGTGCTTGAGTAATTCTATGACAGTATTTAGTCAAAGAAGTTTAATAATAACATTATATTTCATAATGGTTGATTATTCGAAATGAAATGATTGTTCTTGTCTGAGATTTTTCAATAGCAATAAAAAATCGATTGTGAAATTTTTTTTAAAATTATGTTTCGTTTCAAACCAATCCTGAGACTTTTACTTGATCGATTGATTAACACATAGCTTTCTATCTCTTTATAATTCTTAATCTATATCTATAATTAGAATAAAAATGCAACTTTGAATGACATGTACTTTGATAAAATACTTTCTTTTTTCTTTGTTTTATTCATCAGGCATTTATTTTATCACATTTATTCTTGACGTCATAGTCGTTCTTTACTTCTACTATAATTCCCGTTTCATTGATTACATTTTTATATCGAACAGTTAGTTGCTTTTTTCCCATCCAGCCTATTTATAATAAATGTCAAAAAGACTCGTGTTTTTGCCTTTACTAGGACAGATGAAAAATATCATTTGATCTGGTATATCTCCATGTCAAAATTTTAATAACTGAAAAGAGTAAATATTTTCTTATGTTAATAAATAAAATATGACTTGCTATCGTATCTTAATCTTTACAGATAGTGAAAATAAATCTTTAAGATTGTTTACTCATTAATAAAAAATGTGAATTGCCTAGTAATTTTGCTTTACACTCATATACCTAGTTAAGACAAATTTAGTTGTCTACATGAAATGATAATGTTAATATTTTTAAGTTCAGTCGTAAAACTTGCTTTATTCGATGAGAACATATTTTATCTTATTGAAGGTTACCTTTGAAAAAAAAATCAATAACAATCATCTTTAGATGATTTGTATTTATCTCCTATTTCATATTCTTGTATCGCTAATAGTAATAAGATAGTTTTAACATAATCGTCCATATCTTTAGAATTTTTTCAATCATAGAATGTAATATGATTGAAAAAATATTTTGCAATGTCATCAAAACAATGTCAATACGTACTATTTGGATAATTTTATATATAATGAACATTTAGTATATACAATTTATAATCTCTATTGAAGTATTTTGCTTAAATTTTTCTTTATTTGCTACATTATATTCATCGTTTAGTTTTCACATTAATTTTGGAAATTGATGAAGTGATACTCTTTATAACAGAATGGTTTAACAATAAACACGATCATACATAGATATTCTCTTAGTAATGATTAATACATTATTATTCGTATATACTTTAAAAAAAAAAGTACTTATGTTGGCCTTTGCATTATGTGATCGTGTTTTATTTATGAACTTTGCAATAAAAAGATTTTCTATTTATAGTTCATATTCTAACTTCAAAAAACTAAGCATTCTATAAAATCAACAATTTATTATCAGTGAGAAATTTCAATTTGATATAGTACTGACAATTCTTATTATAAAAAGAATTATATGAAAAATGCTTTATTCATTACAATATGACACTATTAATATACGTATTATCAATTAGATTTTAATTTTGGTCTAATTAATCGATGAATTTTTCTATTAGACAGAACAATAATTATTGTAAACAATTATTTTTCAAAAACTAAATCGTGACAAAAGTTATATTTCAATTAATTAACTAGAGTTAATTACGAAAGAAATGCAAAAAAAAAGCAAAAAAGTCGAAAAATATGCGCATATATTCTATTCCAGTTCATTTTTAGAAGTAATTGACATGAACCGCAGATTTAAGTATGTCTCCTTCTTTGCGTCCTCTTACTGTCAGAAAAGCAAAAATTTCATTGATGCCAGATAGGTGGGTGGATAGATGTGGGCGGAGCATTAGCGTTTTTTTTTTGCATTCCATCCAACACAAAAAGTAACGAGAAAAAACAAGAACTATAGAAAAGACAGTGAAGGAAAAATGTTGAACGCGCACACACGAAAGCATTAATATAGCAGAAAGATATATAAAGAATGTGGGCGAAGAAGAGCTAAAGAGAGTGGAGAAAAAAAAACGACGATATTTTTCTTTTTTCTTTCGAGAGTCTTTTGCGAAGTAAGAAAAAAAAAACATATTGTTTCCTCTCTTTTTTTCTTTGTCTCAAAAACTCGAACGGAACTACTGGAAAGACACGACCCATGGGTGTAGCATATCGTGATAGAATGAATAATAATCAGCACAACTAACCAAGAAGCAATAATAAAGAAACTTTTAATAAACTCCAGTTACTTTTCATTATCAGTGAAAGAATAACAGATCAAACATATTTCTTTAAAATATCTCAATTAAATATTATTACGTATATTAATAAATTAGTCATCTTTACTAAAATAGAACAAATATGGATGTTGGAGCTGACTGTATGCGATATTTTGGTATTCGATCTTATCTTGATAAATTTTATGATCGACAAGGTGACCATGGACAACAAGGAGATAATCAACATAAGTAAGTTTTATTTACATATAACTCATTAATCTAGTTTAGATTTTATATTCAATGATAAATTTGATGAAAATATTATTAACTCAAAAATAAATTATTTCTGAACTAAAGTTTAAATTGTATCTAGGTATTTAATACCATCTAGTCATCCAAGATTCTCTAGTCGTTGGTGGAAAATATTACTGTGGTTTGGTACATCATTAGTTATATGTGGTTTCTTTCTACTTATAATTGGTTTTGTTCTTCCACGAAAAAGAATAAATGCTGATGAGTCATTATCTCAAAATTCTCAAATTATGATTGTTGACCGACAAGCACTTGCTTATAATGCTAATTTAGAAACTTGCCGTTTAATTGGCATATGTTGTGTTGTAGGTGGAGGCATTTTATTTACTTTATCACTTCTAATGCCTACTTTTTGTCATATGTGGTGTGCCACTGGAGATTCAAATGATGAAACGGATCCTTTAAAAGTATAAAAACAATTGTTTTTTTTTGTGTACATTGAATTTGTTTTTTATTTATTTCGTATTTAGTTGAAAATGGAAGCATCAAGTGGTGAACAAGTTATTCCTGTAATAGGCAGTGTACCGAAATCAATTCAACCAAGCCATCATAAAAATGAATCGAGAATAACAACAGAAGGCATTGTACCTATTTCATCATCTTAACATTTCTTTTTTGTTGTTTGCCTTTTTTCGTGAAATATATGTTCAAGTATGTCTTAAATGAATGTGAAAAAAAATGCATCGAGATGGTATCAATTATTATTTAAATAAAAGTTATCTTTATGTTGTCATGATAAAAATTATTTTCTTCACTACTAAAAAGTCATTATAATATTTAAGTGTTTTTAAATTTAAACAGAGTGCTTTTTTCATGATCACAAGAGAATTTTTTTGATTGGTTCTTTGTGGAACTATTCAACAAACATGTGATCTCAGACAAGCAAACATGCACGTGGGTAAATCTTGAAGACGATTGAATCGGAGATACACAAACTGCCAGAGAAACAAGCCAGATTTTTGACAATTAGACGGGTACGATACATTGTGAGATTTAACAGGTCCTTCTGTCTCTTTACGATGCAGTCTTTGCTGAAGAAATGTCAATTCTCCAACGACATCCAGCAATTTTGCTGATATTTTTTAAATGTTAACATGATCAGTAAAGACGAGAACACATACATTCATATATGTATGTTTGGTTTAATCTATTATTTTTATCTCTATAATTAGCACTGAACACTGATCTTGTTTTTGAAAGTGACTGACATAATGTACAATTTAAATTTAATTCGAGATAGGTAGTATGTGTTCATTAAATTTGTCTATTCATCCACTTGATTTTGTTGATGTAGCACAAGATATTTGTTCAACTATTCATGATGTGGTCATACTTTATCAAGCACTACTAAAAAGACCTGCAAGAAAATTCATAATTTACTCACACTTAATTAAATCTATAGTCGGGCGGTGGCGAAACGCTTTTTTAGCTGCTACGTTTAGGTCTGAAGTCAATGCACCCTCAGCATTATTTATTTGATTCGATCAACTGGGTGATGAAGACAATTCATCAAATGAAATCTATAACGAATCAAATAATGCACTTGTTCATATCTTTTTTCTAGTGAGATCAATTTATTACAGAAAAATTTGGCACAGCTCACAACCAGAAGCTGTAAAAGCAAGTGGCTTACACCTTCCATAATACTTGAAACGTACGTGTTGTTGTTGTACAATTAGACTGGCAAGATTTCTTGAATTCTTATCATTCTTGTGAGACAGTTTCTTCATACTGTTCTCGAGATGAGGGATGAAACCAGCTGATCACATGATTACAATATCGAAATTTCATGAAAAGTTTTTCAAACTTTGGTCATAGATTGCCATCACATTTGGAAAGACAATCACGATGCCGTCGATCAGATAATGTCAGTACTTAGATAATACTTAGATATTTAAAATAATTAGATAATATCAAAATACGGACATATGTGTCTGGTTCAAAATATCTCCCTGAATAAATTAGCAAACGACAAATTATTTAAATATGCACTCTTGAACTATTATCAGACATCTGGAAATGACTTAGGTCAAATCTAAAATGCTTTTGCTTTTTAGACCTACCTATCTGAATATCTTTAGGATACACAAAAGTTAATGAATATTGAATGAAAATTAAAACAGAAATTCCAAGAGGTTTTATTGTTTATTTCATTTTTGAATTTTGCTGTTAGATTTTGAACATTTCACTTTCTTTTTGCTATTACTCGAAAATCTGATTATTAACATGAATTTAAGTAAGTAATTATTCAAAATGCAGATAAATCATGAAGAAAACCAATATAGAATAAAATCGATTTAAAGTAAACTTAGATGCTTTCAATGGAGGAGGGGAAATTTTCGCCCCAGACGGCGTGTTCCTTGTCATTAGCAACAATAGCAACAATAGCAACATCATGTTTCATGCTTCTGTCCTGTAGGAATTGGGTTAATATCTTTTTTCCAAAAAATTAAGATTCTTATGAAAAAAATCATACATTCTAGAAAAATGTATCTTGTGTATTGATGTAATTATCATTACTCGCATCTATAATACAACGTGCACATAGTCACTAGTCAGAGATAGATTTGATTCGGTTCATATTTTTCAGAATTTACACCAAAACGAGATCGACATTTTGAAAATCTATTAGAAATGACTAAAATTGTTTAAACTCCTTTCTCTTATAATCGAATACTTCTCTATAATAAAAGACTCTTCCTTAATTAGTTAACTGAATACTAAAATGTAACTTTAACCAAAATTTCTAATTGAGAAGATTCTGTGCTGTTTTGTAGAATGCCCATTTGAAAACTAATCAAGACTAAAACTGAAATTATATTAGTTAATAAAGAGAAACTTAATAAAAGATTTCGCTGAAATATTTTTCTGCTTTAGTATAATAAAATGTTAGAGGTTGTCTTTTAAAGAAGGAAGGCTATTATATACTTATAAATGTCATGTTTTTCTTTTGGTAGTTATTATTTATTTCTTAGTTTATTCATGTTAAAAAGAAAGAAATACTGATATTGTATTGACTTTGAGAAAACTGATCATGAGATGAATCCTTTTGCTTCACAAAGGATAGCACTGTTTTGTTTACGTTTTATTTTTCTGAAACGAAGAAACAATAGCAAATATATCAACAACTTCATTACTACTTATGGCATATTTGTTTTTATTCACTTTTCTTGCATTGCATGTCGAAATACTGTTCTACACTAAAATGAGGTGTAGGGTGTCGAGTTGCAAAAAAGATGCTAATGATCACATTTACACACCTGCGCATTCTCATAAGTTGTAATGAAATTAACCATACATTTCTATTCGTGCTTTGTCTAAGAAAAATAAAACGTAAACAAAACAGTGCTATCCTTGATGAAGAAAAGGATTCATGTCATGATTAGTTTCATCAAAGTCAATACAATATCAGTATTTCTTTCTTTTTAACATGAATAAACTAAAAAATATTAATAATCACTACGAAAAAACCATGGTTTATACGTATAAAATAGCCTTTCTCCCATAGAAGACAATCTCGAGCACTCTATTATAAGAACGCAGATAAATATTTCAGCGAAATCTTCTATTAAGCTTGTCTTTATTAACTAATATAATTTTAGCTTTAGTCTTCAGTGGTTTCCAAATAAGAATTCTACAAACCAACACAGCATCTTGACAATTAGATATTTTGATTAAAGTTACACTTTAGTATTCAGTTAACTAATTAAGGAAGAATCTTTTACTATAGAGGTATTATATTCGATTATAAAAGAAAGAGGTTCGGGTAACAACTGTTTGCAATAAGATGATTGATATAATAAAGATTAAACAATTTTAGTTATTTCTATTAGAATCAAATAAAATTTGTTTTATTTTTCTTAAGATATTCCTTTAGTTTGAAGCCATCTTATACAAGAAACTTCTCTTTCCTGAAAATGAAATATGTTAGTAAATATACCTATTGATTTAATACATTTTTATTACGATTTCTTTTTCGTATGTTTCTACAAAAAGCAGATGCTGCCCTGCTAAATATATTCGATGTCGATTCATATCTTCTGCCATACTTTATATCATTGAACCACATATTGAGATTGTTACATAGAGAATTACTCAAAGAATACATCTCAATATAAACTATTCGTGTTGCATGCGGATGAATGTAGCCATATATAGCAAGACAGAGATGCTATGAAAAGCCTACGTTCATCTGTAGCTGTCAAATATGTACAATTTTTTTTGTCTTTGTTCTTTAGTTTCAATAAAAATTATTGGTCTTTTTTTCAACAAATAATACTTCTTTTCTTTCCTGTAGTAGTCTGCTTAAAGTAAAAATGTATAAATGCATCCAATAAATCAATGAATCACAATGAATATTTACTCATTCATATGAAAATGAATCTGAAATATGATAGCGACATAACGACTAATTTCGCATCACAAAGTTTTCTTGTTGCCAAGTTAATGACAATTCATATAAGATTTATATAAAGAAAATATTTTTAAAAAAAAGAGAGGCATGCTAACAGATGAAAAACAGATTCTTTCATCAAATTCTGACACGGAAAATTTGCTGCAAAAAACATTTTAAGTTACAGAAAATTAAAATAGTTCTACATCAGTATCATAAATCAGAGCAAACAGATTGCAATTCTTCGAATAATAAATATATAACTCTATCATCTAATCCATATCCATTGGACAATTTTTTTCCAAATAAGGAGATGTTTCTCCTTATGATAATGGTTACACCCGATTCACATTCTTTGTATCTATTAAATAGCAAGATATATATACATGTATCTGATTGTTGTCAAAATCCTTGTAATGTATGAATTGTTTCTGTCACCATTTATCTTTCTTTTGATCCTCTCTGTTATGTCATTTAGTATATGATATAAAAATCTTTAAAAATCAATTAATAAAAATACTTTTTTTTTTATTGTTGAATTCAATTTCAACGATATAAAGTCAAATAAATAAAATTCCATATTTTACCATGAAAACAGATGATTTATTTTTGGCTTTTTCTTTTCGTTTATGCAAACTAAAATTTTCACCTTCATTCGTTCTCTATTTTACTTTTTCTGTTTGATTATTGTCCTCAAATGACTTATGTCATACACATTTTGTTCTCAAAGTATTTTGTTTTTAAATATTTTTTCAAGATTTATTATTAATCATTCAAATAAACAATGCCCGTTCCTAAATCGCGAAAACGTGATACTAAATTATATGATTTACTTGAAGTTTCACCTGATGCAACAAATGCTCAAATAGCAAAAGTAAATTATTGTTTTTGTTTTTTATTTTCTATTATTATATGTTTATGAATTTAATTGTAGGCTTATAAAGTTGCAGCTATGAAATATCATCCAGGTAGATTTTTCTAATATATTTTAAAAATAAATTCATTTTGAAATAAATTTTAGATCGAAATCCTGATGCACCACCAGAAAAATTTAAAGAAATTTCAGCTGCATATGATGTTTTAAAAGATGAACATAAAAAAGAAATTTATGATCAATATGGACTTGAAGGTCTTAAAGAAGGAATGGGCGCACATAGTAATGATCTCTTATTTTTATTTCTATATTCATCATTTGATATTAATTTTATTGAATAGGTGCAACTAGTTTATTTGATTTGATTATGGGTGGTTCAAATCGACATCATCATCATCATGGCCAACCAAAAGGTGAATCAAGAATTATTCCATTAAAGTATGTAAAAAAAATAATTTATTATTATTTTTAATTCAAAAAGAATAAATTTATCTCTATTGTTTTTTTTTTACGTTAGAGTTAGTTTAGAAACTTTATATAATGGTGAAACAAAATCTGTAACTTTTACACGTAAAATAGTATGCCAACAATGTAACGGGTATTAGAGAAAAATTTTTAGTTTATATTAAATCGTTCATTTTATATTTAGGTCCGGTTGTAAAGAAGGTAAAAAACGAATACATTGTCGTGCTTGTCATGGTCAAGGTAAATTAATATATAATTTTATTCATTGTATAATTGAAAATGTTTCGTTTAATTAGGTGTTCGTATGGGCCTATCTCGTATGGGACCGATAACATTTCAACAACCAGTTCAATGTCGTGAATGTGATGGTGAAGGTAAAATTATTAAAAGCAAAAAGAAAAATCTGAAATTTACAATATGATTATTTTTTTCATTTAATAGGCGAAGTAATTGCACATAAAGATAAATGTCATCTATGTCATGGAAATCAAATAGTAGAAGAAAAAAAAAGTCTTGATGTTGTTATTTTACCAGGTTATTCAAATGGAAAAAAAATTAAATTTCGTGGAGAAAATGATCAATTAGTAAGAATTTAATTGATGATTTTGTATTATTTTATAAATATATTGATTTTAGTCTGGTATTGAAGCTGGTGATATTTATATTTTAATTGAACAAGAAAAACATCCAATATTTGAACGTATTAATGAACATGATCTTTTAATTAAAATGAAAATAAATTTAAATGAATCATTAACGGGTTTTAAACGAACAATTCAACATCTTGATGGACGACATGTACTTATACAACATCCACCAGATCATCCAATTGAGCCTAGTTTGTTTTCTTTTTCTCAATATTTTAAATTAGAAGAGATGAAAAAAAAAAAACGATTTTATATTTTTAAATAGATTCAATGAAAAAAATACCAAATCAAGGCATGACTAGTATGGAAACTCATCATACAGGTGATTTAATTATTCAATTTGATGTGGAATTTCCACCAATCAATTTCTTTCATCATCCAAATATTATTCAAGTATTCAAAACATTATTAAGGACGAGCGCGTATTTGTTCACAAAATAGCCTGTCGAGCTAAGAATTTTTTATGATGGAACTTGATCTATAGAAGACGACCGTGGAAAAATATTATTATGACAATGTTTATTCAGGAGACAAAAACAAAATAACATTTTCTATGTGACAATCTAAACGTCACTATTAACTCCATCTTCACTATAGATATAATCTCTGTCGGTTGAGTTCTGATAGAGTTATATTCCAAAGATAGATAGATCTGTTCGAAAACCTCATACAAGAATACATTAGTTTATCACTGTAATATATTGTCGGTATCTTGACATTAATAAGAGCAAACATAATCATTTTTGTTAGCAGAGTTAGCTTTTGCAGTAATATCAAAACCTACAAATGAACTTTGACATATGGATGAGGACAGAATTCAGTTAGAGGTACAGACTGCCATTAAATCACAGATTTTTATTAGAAAATAGGAATATGCCAAGTGTTTTGTTGTCAAAATTCTACTCAAAACAAATAATAAACTATCAGAATCATGTTCAGCATTAAATGTTCAGTCGATGCATAGAGCTTTCAAAAATCGTACGATAACTTTTTTCTTTCTATCAAAAAATTTTGCCTGGGTACCTCTCAGAAATGTTGTAAAAAACTAATGGATTCAAAATCATGTTTCAATTATATAAGCATATTTCTTCAAGTCTTTTAATAGAATAACAGAGTTTGAAAGCTTGTTTCTTATAGTAAAAATGACGTTTCCGATGCATTCATTATTTGAAACATGCTTTAAGGGTACCTGAGCTAGATTTTTCAATGAAAAAAAAAGATTATCATATGGTTTTTGATAGCTTTATATATCGGTTCAATATTTTGTGCTGAATAAGATTCTGATATTGGATTATTTATTTTGAGTGAAATTTATCAACAAAATACTCAACATACTAATATTTTTTAATAATAGTTCGTACTTTAATCACAGTTTCTGCCTTCTAATGAAGTGTTTCTCCATTGATATGTCAAATTTCATTTGTAGATTTTGATGTTAGTTCTAAGAGTTAACTTTGCTAACAAAAATGGTTATGTTTGCTCTTATTAATATCGACATATAGGCAATATATTACAGTGATAAACTAATATATTCTTGAATGAAATTTTCGAAGAGACCTATCTCTGGAATATAATTCTATCAGAACTCAACCAACAGAGACTCTATTTGTAGTAAAAATGTTATTTTGTTTTCGTCTTCTAAACAAAAATGGTCACGATAATATTTTTTCCATGGTTACATTTTGTAGATCAAGCTCCATCATAAAAAAAATTCTCAGTTCGACAAGTTCTATTCGCCAATGTATGAAACAGAAACATTAAATAAAAATATGATGAGCCATTTTGTGAATGAATTCGCCTCGTGTCTTTTTAACTTTTCCTGTTTTTCAATTTAAGCTTTTTTTTTTGTTTGTATTTTAGAAGTTGGAAAGCATATTACCCTCAAAACCAGCATTTAATATTCCATCGGGAGTGAATCTCGATGAAGCATTATCCATGATTGATCATAACAAAGAATCTCATTCAAATAAACATCGTTCACATAAAACCTATAGTGAAATTAATGAAGAGAATGACGATGATGATGATCAATATGTTGATGATGACGAGGACGATGATGATCAACCTCAAGTTCATACTTGTCACACACAATGAAAAAACATATTTCTTTTTCTCATTTAGTTTCTTTATATAACGAAAATTTTGAACTTATAAAAAAACAGACGAAAGAAAATAAATAAATGAACATTTTCACATGTTTTGTAGATTGCCATAAAAATTCATCTGCCTTAAATAATTATGCCGGACACAAAATTATATGATTTACTTGGTGTTTCACGAAATGCAAGCGATCATGACATAAAAAAAGTTTGTTTCGAAAAAAAAAAGTTATTTTTATCTCATGTGTTGAAATTTTTTTTAGGCTTATCATAAACTTGCTAAAACACATCATCCAGATAAAAATCCTGAATCGGCCGAAAAAGTATTTTTACTTGAAATTCATATTGAAATAAGAATTCTTTTTTGTTTTTATTGTTCTAGTTTAAAGAAATATCATTTGCTTATCAAGTTTTAACAGACGATAATAAAAGACGTATCTATGAGTAAGATTTCAAGATTTGATTTATAGAAAAATCATACATAATTTGTTGCTTTCATTTCAAGCACCTATGGTCTTGAAGGACTTAAAGAAGGTGGTGGCAGTGGTGGTGGAGGTTAGTCTTTTTCATTGAAATATATCATGTTAGAAAAGAGAAACCTCAAGATGCAAATACGATAGAAGTTTGTTATTGTATATTCCTAGTTTTAATAAACATTGATTTGCTAAGATTTTCTTCCATAAGTAGGATTCTATGAGACTAGAAGACATTAGGCGCCTGCTTTCTAGAGTTATGATCGCTTTTACTGGAATTTCGACTTGAAATTTTGCTCATCAGTTGTTTGATTGCTAGAATGTTCTCAAAGTTTCAATTCAAAGAGATACTTTAAATGTTCAAAACACAATTATATTTCACGAAACTGACTCTTTTTTTGGCATTTAATGTCCCAGAAAGGAATCGTTGCTTTTAACTGAAACTGTAAAAACATTCTAGCAACTATGAAGTTCAGTAGTATAATTTCAGATGTGAATTCTAGTAAAACAATCATAACTTGGTAAAGAAAATCTAATGAGACGAATCTTTTTAGGTTTTGTTTTAGTCTTACAGATTTCTACTTGACAGAAAAATATGGATTTGAACGAATGGTTTCAACTTGGAATAATCCCTTGTTGAATCATTTCTGAAAGCAAAACATAGAAAATTCAACATACTGTTTATTAAATATATTAAGTGTCAGTAAAATAGCTCATAAATTGATTAGAGGAGAACCTTCTATTGTGAAAGGTATTTATACATAATAGTTCTCTAGTTTTCATTTGTTCTAATGTTAGAAATATTTAATAGATATGAGCTAACATTTACTTACTTCTATTGTCACTATATAGAATCCAATCTTTCTTTTTTGCTTTGTTAAGCAAAGCATAGTTGTGTTGATTCTATTTTCTATAATTTTGTTGCATGTTATAAATTTTTCTATTCATTCTAATAATTATTTCTGATGCTTTTTTTGATACATATAATAACTCATTTGTTGAAAATCAACGAAATCAATAGTGTGGAATTAAGAACACATTATACTTGTAGTTATGAGTTCAACTTAGAATTAGAACTTGACGATCTGTTTTAGTTTATTAAAAAAATAAATTAATCGTGAAAATTCGTATCAATGTTTCCAGTTCTTAAAACAAATTAGGTTATGTTGCTAATATGAACAACATTCTGTTAACTCATTCGATCACAGAATTCTACGCATTTGCCTGTATATACTAAGAAAAAAGAAAGTTTTTCTTCATGCAAAAACCACTAACAGTATTTTATCGAGCATGGGAGCGAACAAAAAGTGTTTCTACCTAAGTTTGTGGTTCTTGTCCCGTTCACACTGTATCTGTGCTTCAGAAAATAGGTGTTTCCATTTCCGAAGTTTTCAAATCGTCCTTTCGAAAGAGAAAATTTGAATATAGAACTGATTAATAAGTATATTAAAGTTTTAGCTAGTTAAAGCTGTCAATAATAGATTTCTTCATATAAAACATTGTTAAACACAATCTCTTCAATAGTAGTAATTATAATTAAAATAACTTCAAATAGAATATGTTCAAGTTTGGTACAAATTTACATCCTCGTTTAGGTAGTATGGCAGATATTCTTGGACAATTTTTCGGTGGTGACTCGCCTTTCGGTGGTCATCCATTTGGTGGTCATCCTTTTGGAGGTTTATTCGGTCATTCTACAATGGGCGGAGGACGAAATCGACGACGTAAAGGCGACGATATCGCACACCCACTCAAGTAAATATTCATTTCTTTTAATATTTTTTTTTTCAAATTAATATTGCGTATTAAAATAGAGTAACACTCGAACAATTATATAAAGGCGACACACATACACTTGAAATATCTCGTAAAGTTATTTGTTCAACATGTAATGGGTAAGAAAAAGATTCAAATGTTTTTCTTTTCGATTATTGAATAATAAAATTATTTTAGTGCCGGTGGTCGTGAGGGTGCTAAGCAAACATGTACAACATGTCGTGGTCATGGTATACAGATAATAACAAGACAAATAGGTCCAAATATGATGCAGCGAATGCAACAAGTATGCAAAGATTGTAGTGGTGAAGGTACATATGAAGTCTTTTTTGTTTCTTTTAATACTTAAAAAAAAAATATAATTTTTTTTTTCTTTTATATTTTAGGTGAAATAATTAACGAACGTGATCGTTGTAAAAATTGTCAGGGTAAAAAGACAGTTGATCAAAAGAAAAATCTTGAAGTTGTTATATCACCCGGTTAGTTTTCATATATTTTACATATAGAAATATTTTAAAAATTAATATATAATTTAGGTAGTAGACATGAACAACAACTTCGTTTTCCAGGTGAAAGTGATCAAGCACCAAATATGGAACCTGGAGATGTTATTGTTGTTTTACAACAAGAACCACATGCCCTTTTTCAACGTAGTGGAGATAATCTTATTATGAAACATAAAATAAATTTAGTTGAATCATTATGTGGTTTTCAACTTGTAATAACACATTTAGATGGAAGAAAAGTTGTTTTAAAACATCCACCTAATGATCCTATTGCACCAGGTATATTTATATTATAATATATCAATTTAAAAGAAAACTATTTGTTTTGTGTATGTTTTAGAAACATTTCGATGTGTAAAAGGACAAGGGATGATTAATATGCGAACACATGATACAGGAGATTTAATTATTCAATTTGATGTTGAATTTCCTTCAGAAAAACATCTTACTGATCCTCATGTACTCAAGGTTAATTTAAATTCATGTGTTATTTTTTTCAGTTAATAGTTTGACTTTTTGCTTTGTGCTTTTTTTTAATAGAAACTTGAATCAATTCTACCAAAACGTCCACACGTTGAAATTCCAAAAGGTGAACATGTTGAAGACGTACATATGATTGATTTTCATACAACAAAATCAGCACATGATGATCGACGTGGTAATCGTCGAGAAGCATACGAAGCTGGTGATTCAGATGATGAAGGTGGTCATCAAGGTGTTCACACATGCAGATCTCAATAAAAAAATAAACTGAACAAGAACATTTCTATTCTTTTTTTTTTTCTCCTGGCTTTTCGATACTTCAAAACAAAAATGAATCCAAAACAAACGAACAGAAAACATCCATTTTTAATATATAAGATTTTGTTTTTTGTTTGTTGTGTTCCATCTGTCTTGTTTCTTTTCCTTCTTTAATTTGCGTATTTTGCATTTGCTCGTATTTCTATTCCTCATGTTTGGGCGTTTGTTGAATAAACAAATCCAGAGACGAAATTTTTCGACTTAAGAGAACGATAACTCATAAGAAAAAGGGAGAAAAAGAAAAGAGATAAGAAATGAAGCAAGGTGAGTGCAAGTGTTTTTGTTTGTCTTTACTTTTTTTGCAGATTTTCATGATGAGTGACGATGATGATATCGACTTTACATCGGCCAATCAAAGGTTTAAGATTTTATTTAAAAATAAACAAAAAAAATTTTTTTTTATTTATTTTTTAATAAAATAGTTCCAGAAATTTGGCTACCCTTTTTCATGGTGGTGAAACAGCAGCAGCACCAACTGTTGCCTATGTTCCACCTAAACAACCTAAAAAAGGTATTTTTCAAACAAAAAGAAAACAACAACAAAGAAGATCATATGATTCTTTTTTCTTTTTTACTTTTTTGTTTTTTGTTAAAGATTCTCCACCAAAGGTTATGACAGCAACTGCCGTTCAAGCGTTTTCATTGTAATAACTGCAGTTTTGTTTTTTAGTTTCATGAATTTCTATTTATAATATTTCAGTGGTGCCGATCAAAAATGGACACCACGAGGAAAAATGGGTGTTGCTATTTTATCAACAGATAATACTATATTTACACTTATTCTATATTTAACAAAGACTCAACATATTACATCGGCTCGTATAAATACTTCAACACTGTTTACAGTAAATTTTAATTGTTAATGTTTTTATTTTTTTTATTTTTATTTAATTAAATTCTAGTGTCAAGCAAATAATTATTTAGCATTTCAAGATGATGGTGGTCAAAATTGGTCAATTATGTTTGAAAATAAACAAGCACTTGTTGATTTTGTTTTACAAGTTATTAAAGTCTTTGCTTCGTTTCAAAGATATAAAAAATTTTTGTTTAGATTGTTGTGGCAAAAGCTTATTTATTCTCATTTAAATTTGATCATATTATACAAGACGTTCGAGAAGGTGAAGGTTCAGCTTTAGTTGATCATGATAGTGTAGAAATAACAGTTAATCAATATAAATTACTTGAAAATGGAACAGTTTCATCCATGGATGTAAAAATTCTTTTTTTTTTCTTCCTATTAACAAAAAACTTTCCCTTCGTTTATTAGAGTGGAGAAATTAAACCAGTAAGATTTAAAATTGGTAAACAACAAAATGGCAAAGTAAATTTCCAAAAAGAAACGAAAGTTATTTTCATTTTCTCTTAAAATCATTTTAGGCATTTGATGATTCACTTCGTGGAATGAAAAAAAATGGTCAACGTATCACAATGATCGGAACAACACTTTATAATATAGAAGTTATTCGTGTAAGATACTGTAAAATAGTTTAATCGCAATATGTTTTTGAGTTTTTTTTTCTATTATGTTAAGCACCTAGCTAGTCAATAGAGTTTTCCATCTAATCCATTCTATAACAAGATTTACAAAATAAAGGGCCGCCGTATTTCCTACGGCCTTCTCTTAAGAAGTTAAAAGTATTGCAAAACTGAAAGCAGACGTTTTTTAGTCGATCTTTTGATGAATTTCGATTTTTGGAATACTTTTAACTTGTCAAGGAAAGGTTGTAGAAAATGCAGCAATGCCTCATTTTGTTCTTCTTAATATGACACTTTAAAAAAAAGTCTTCTGTGACCGTAAAAACTATCATGCCCATTTTTTCAAAGTTTCGCTATAGAATGTATTAGAGAGAAAATTCCTTTGGCTATTAAAATCATTCTAGAATTGAGCTAATTGCTTGACATTATAAAATAAATAAGTCTATAGTTCGTTTTTTGTATGCATTAGATCAAACGAGAGAAAGAAGCTCGTACTAGCTCAATTACAATGCCAACAGAAGAACAAACAGTAAATGAACGCAAACGTACAATTACAGAAGAGAATGAGGTTATTTAATTAAAATATTGCTTTTTAGTTAAATTATTAATTTTTATTAAAAGGCTAATAATGAAAAAAATAAAATGTTACAACGTATTAATAAAATGGGCGGAGTTTCAATGCTTCCTAATGCAAATCAAACAAGTGCATTTGTTACTCCACTTCCATCTCAATTACCATTATTAAATGATGATGATTCAATTAATAATGAATTAATACAAAATGCTGCACCAGCAAGAGCTGTAAGAAAAAATGAAACAAACAAAAACTTTTTCTTATTATTTATTTCTTTGTATTAAAGATTTCAACAACAGCACCACCACCGCCAGTTCAATTTGTACCACCTACATATCATCCTCATCCTCATCATCATCCGTCTCCATCACAACCTTTAATTCAACAACCAACTTTATATTCAGCACAACAACCATTACTTGATTATAATAGTCGACCTGGTAAACAATATCTGCAGATTAGAGATTTCATTTTCATTTTATATTTCAAAGGTTCATCAATGAGTGGAATGGCTTATCAACAAGTATCAATGTGGCCTCCTTCACAATATCCTGTGAACACATCTAGTGGTAACATATAGATTTTCTTTGTATAAATTAACCCATTGAATAACATAGCTCGATTATGATAGTTAGTGGTCTCTAAATCTATTTAATTCTTGCTGTCATCAAATACTAATCATTCAGCAAAATTCAACCTACTTTCCATAATGTATTCTTGAGAAATGAACATTCCATTTCTTTTGTGTAAGATACTAATAACTTGTGATCCGAAAGAAATGAAAGCTTATTCTTTTTTTATTAAACTTTAGGGCTAACGTTCCTTTCTCTGTTTATTTTGAATTTGAAGTATTAATTTTAGAGAATTATGGAAATCGAACTATTTTACGATTGAGAATCACTTCTGAAGTTCGAGATTTCTTTCAAAAAACGAAACTCATGTCTCACCTTAGGAATATACATTTTCATTTCAAAATTGCATCGTATTCTAGAAAATATCTTTAGATTATTTGCAGAAAATCTGATGGTTAGCTATTAGATGGTCCGAAAAATTCATTCACAGCGAACATGCACTATGGAAACATAAATTTGGAGGGAAAGATGAGAAACGAAGAGTCGTTCATTTTAGCATATTTCTTGTTTAGACATCTTCAAATTACTTACGAATCACTATTATGATCATGCGTGATTGTGACTGTGACCGATAAGATTCGAGCCAATGAAAAACAGATGTATTTCGCAGTGGCAGATTTAGAGAGAGCGCGTGGGCGGCTACTTGAGTTCAATGTCATATTTTCACAACTAATGTGCTGTAAAAGTTTATGTAAAAATTATTGACTAATGATCATTTCAGTTCTTCTTCTTGTATTTTTGATCGTAAAATTAATCTTTTTCTTTTCTTAAACAATAGAATTGTTGAGCACATAAACATACAGAATAGGCAACGTATTAATGAATTAAAAAAAAGTAATAAATCTTCAAGATGATGAACATTATGGACCATGTTAGTCGCACTAGATGTATCGAGTGCATTGATGCCACTAGAAAATGATATCGTATTTTTCGCTGACACATTTATTGTTCAGCACGGAACCAGAACCAAAATCTTTTTTGACCGAAGCCAAACAATGATGCGTTTCATTCATCATTACATGTGCCATATACTTCAAAACAAAATTGTATCGTCACATCGTAATATGTGTTTTGTCTTGACGAGTTATTCAAAGATTAATAAACCTTGAAAAATTTTATTTTATAAAAGATATTAATCCTAAAATAATTAATTTAATTGACGTGTATAATTATAGTAGCACCAACGGATGCTTTTTATCAACAACAATTTTTTCCAAATGATTTTCGTCAATTACTCAATCGATTAACTGAAAAAATGGATATATTAAATGAAAAAGTATTTTTCTATTTTTAAAACAATAAACTTAGAAATAAAAAAGAATACAAATGATTTAGTTCGATACAAAAAATTCAACATCATATCCAAATATGGAAACAAGTATTCTTCTTGCAAATATTCAACGAATTATTAAAGTATAGTTTGAAAATTGTATTGATGCTTTTGTTTTTTTCTATTTGAAAATTTTTTTTCTAGGAAAATGATACTATGAAAAAAGATTTATTCGATCGTAGTGCAAAAGTTGAAGAACTTAATCTTAAAATATCTGAATTACTTGATAGAAATCAAAAGTAATTCTATATATATATCTATATTGTTCATATTTCGTTTTTTATTTTGTAAATTATAATAGATTGATTGAACAAACACATCAAACAGCTGAACAACGAAATGTTGTTGTTAATAATGTATCCGAGCAAACTGCACAAAAAATTCTTGATTTAGAAAAACAAAAAGTTGAACTAACAAATACTTTAAGTATATCAACAAGTAAAATAGCTGATTTACAATTACAATTAAATAGATATACACAAGATACTAATGAAAATCAATCACGTTTGAATACATTAATGCATCAATGTGAACAATATAAAGATGATTTAGAAAAATCTGAAAATCAACGTTTAGATATTCAAATGAAATTTGATTCAATTCAAGAACAATTAAAAAATGAAAAAGCTATTAAAAAACAATTACAAACAAATTCAAATACACTTGAAGAAGAATTAGCTGAAATTAAAGTTACTTGTACAAATTTAGAAAAGGTAAACAAAACTTACGAGAGAAGTATTCTAACTGATATAATCGCTTTTGAATTAAAGGTATGCGCATTATGTGTATGCAAATGAGGTACGAATATTCTAAGAAAAAGAGTTCGAGCAGTTAGCTTGTTGTGGCGTAGATATTGGATTTTTACGGTACCTTTAAATGAATGTCGTAATCCTCCTCAAGAACACCAAGAAAACTGATTTCCAAAGTTTTACTTGAAATTTTGCACAGAAATAAACCTTAATAAGAGCAGTTTATTATAGAAATTGCAGATCTTACCATTGTACCTATCCTAATTTATAGCTATGATATACGCGTGTCTTGTACAGCACTGATATATAACGGCAGATTCCGATGTTCTTATTTAGAGTAAAAGAAAATCAAAGGATCAAACATTTTCACAATAAACTACTCTTGTTAAGGCGTATCTTTTGACAAATATTCAAGTAAAAACTCAAAAATCAATTGCGCATGTTGTGCCTATGGGAGATCACGATATTCATTAATAATTTATCATAAAAATGCAGTATCTAGACACCCATAGGCGAAGATCCAGAGCTCTTTTCATAGTATGAAAAGCTCATTTGACTGTACCTCATACACACATCTTTGAATAAAAACAATTTATCGGTTGGAGTAGCTTTCCTCTTATTACTTCAATTATTTCTGATGAAGGAACTCGTTCAAATGATAATCTTCATATGAGCGCATATTTTGCTGTCAGAGGTAGGACTCATAGTGTAGATAAAACTTTTATTCTTTCAAAAATTTAATCTTCTATCATATTTAAAATTCCAAAAAATTGATAAAAACTAAATTTATGTAAAACACGACCACTTCAGAAAATCATCGAAATACGAAATAGTATTTTTAAATTAATCTCTTAAAAATATTCCCAGAAATTTGATCTTCTCCTCCGGAAATAATTATATCATTTCAAAAAACTTCAGACTTCATAAATTTAACAAAGTTTTATTTTAATAGATACATAATGAACGAAAAACAAAATTTGAGAATGAACGTAAACGATGGCAAGATGAAATTGATGAACAAAAACAATCATATGAAAAAGAATTAGATGAATTACGAAATAAATTACGTAAACAACGAACAGTTGATAATTTAACAAATAATCAAGAAGTCAGTTTTACGGTTTTTTCTTATAAAAAATTCTATAAAAAAAAACATATTCTTTGAATAGATTAGTCGAATGGAACAAGATTTAGAACGTGAATGGCAAGAAAAATTTGATCGACAACAAGCCCAACATGAACGTATATTAACTTTAAAAGGAAAAGAATTAGAACAATTAAAAACATCTTTCAATGAAAATGAAATTAAAGTTAATCGAAATGGTTTTTTTTTTCTTTTTCGTTTATTTTCATTTTTTTTCGTTGTAGTTACAACAAGCAAATGAAGACTTAAAAGAATCCCAACAACAAATCGAAGCTTATCAAGAACGAGTAAACAATAAAATAAAGCACAAATTCTTTCTCTTTATATGTTTATTTTTTGTCTTCAGTGTGAAAAACTTCAAGAACGTCTTTTATTAATGAAAGAAAAATTAATCGAAATCAATGATGAACAACCACAATTAATTAATGAACAAATTAAACGTACAAGTAATATTATATTTCAACGTTTAAAAACTCGTATTCGACCAACAAAACAATATACTGGTGAACAATTTCTTTCACGTTCACTTGAAATTATTAAAAAAGCAACATTAAAAGTTTTATCAAATAATGATAACGAACAAAATGAACAATCAACAGATGATATTGAATCAGATGATGAAAGTGAACAAATTCAAACTACAGTTGAGATTTCGAAAAATGATCAACCAATAAATGGAAATTCTGTTGATCAAAATACATTAAACGAAGAAGTTTCATCAATAGCAACAAATCAAAATAAAGATAACAATTCGAATCAATCAGAAATAACAACAACACCATTAACACACAGTCAAAAAAATGGTTGGGATACGGTAGATGATATTCAACAGGAATCAAAAGTTCAATCTGAAACACTTGAACAAAGTCAAATTGTTATAGTTGCTGAAGATACGACACCAGCAGGTATTTTATTTTTAATAGTTATTCGTATAGTGACTTGAAATTGACATACCGAAAGATGAAAAGAAAGGCGAACAATCATTTTCATTAGGATATAATGGTAATATGAGATTCTTTTAAAGATTTATTTTATTTTAAATATTTATGTTCTGGTAAATGACAATGCTTTTTCTAAACTACCGTTTATTATCAAGTAAAATTTGAGAATAGTAAGATGTAGTGACTATAAGATAAGTTTAGTCCAGCATATTTATTCATTGATGAATTTTTAGCTTCTGATGACGTTATAATATTTTCTTAGATTTCTTTAAATCGGTCAGTTTATGACTTGAAAATTTTAGTCCCCAATCTAGAATGATGACTGTTGGATCAGTAGCCTTTGCATTCCAAGTTCTCATTCTATGTTACCTTTCACTTCATTCATTTATTATATAAAATTTACTATTCTTCTTCTAATAATTGTTTTTAAAAACTTTCAAGTAAATGAAACTGAACCAACATTATCAAATTCTGTGATTGAAAATAATGAATCAGGATCTTTTTCTGAAACTGTTAATGAAGAACATGCTGTTGCTGCTGATGATACGGACGAAAAAATTGACAAGAATGATGAAAACACCGAAAAGAATGATGAAGAAACTGAAAAGAATGATGAAGAAATCGAAAAGAATGATAAAGAACTATCACCAGAATTCAATACATCACCAGACAAACCTTTAAGTGATGAGGGTAAATCATTGATTTTTCTTTCTTTCAGTCTAATTTTTATTTTTCATGATAGAAAATACCAACGAAATATATCAATCAGCTCGTCCATCGATTCAAGATAGTGTTTCAGCATTAACTTTTGCACAACCATCAGCATCTCCAAAAGTATATCTAATGATCTCATTCATCTCTTCATGTTATTTTTGTTTTTATTTATTTTTTTTTGTTTCAGTATAAATTCAATGAAAACATTCCATTAATGACAAATGCTCATGATTCCGATGATGAGATTTTTAACTAAATAAAGGCCATGAAAATGTCTATCGATGTGCTTTTTTTTTGATTATAAATCGATATGACATTAAGTAAAATTAATATTTTATTTTTTCCGATATATAAATCAATGAAATTTTTTCGTTTTTTTCTTTGTTTGTTAGTCTATTTTTTCAATAATTTATCTCATCAAAAATATACGCAATATCTTTCTCTATTGTTTTACATACATTTCAATTTAAATAAAGATCGAAATAAATATAAAATTATTTGCTTATGAAAAATATTTTACTTTCAATACTAAAGAAAAGATTTTCAGTTCTTTTGACATAGACATACGGTTAAAATGTTAGCTCTTTCAGTTGATTATTAATTAAAGATTAATTAGCAAATATCTTTCTAACCATAAAAGAAAAACATCCGAAAATTTCTGAATAGATTCGACCAAAATTCTATCAAGTCCAGATAGGAAACTCTTTGTTTTACCATCGCATAGAGATTTTGAAGAAGAATTTCTATTATTTGAAATTAGTTTTGAATTTTTCGTTCGATTATAACAGCATTTTCTTCGTATTTTGTCATGTATTTAACGAAATGTAAATCAATTGTTTTTTGAAAAATCTACACATAGAAGAATTTTGGATATAGTTTTTATAATGTCAAGGGTTGTCCACAGAATGTACTATTTATTTTTCAATGGTAATGTCTGTATTCGGAGCTTTTTAAAACTAAAATGCACTTGGTGCATGTCTATGCCATGTTTTTCTTTTTATCACGTCACTGACGCTAGTTTGTATTTACGAGTAACTTCTCTGATTATAGGTCACGAACACTGATATTTTCACAGTATCTTAAGTAACTTAGCATACATGTAACATATATAAATTAGCGTAAGGAAACTTGATTATTCTGAGATGCACGTGTTTTAGTTTTGTGAAATTACGTCCCCAAGGAAGGACTTTACCCACCTAAAGATTTGACCTTTTATTGATAAAAATCATTAAAATAAGATTTTCATGATTTTACATTGGGAGAACATCGTAGTTGATATTCACACCATATCGTTGAAGACGATCAGGACCTTGAAGTTTAAGAATAATTTGATAATTTGAATCAGAATATTGAATAAGCGTTCTATCTTTTGTTGTTACATCTGTTTCTTGATTATTAAATACTCGATAAACATGTGAGACAGCTGACATGACTTGTTCATTATCAAGATAGATGGTATATGGTTGATGTTTTTTTGTAAATGGTGTTTCAATCATTAATGTTAAATTATAACGTGGATAAGACCAAAAAAAGCTCGTTGTATTACATTTTGCATAATCAGTGTCAGTCAAATTAACAATACCTGAATTACAATCACCAGAGAATTGTACTACAGCCATACATGTATCAAGTTTATCAACTTGAGCTTGACATGAATTAGTAACACTATTCTCAACAATTAGAACAGATGTGAAAAGTAATAAAATAATTGACGATAAAACAAATGACATTATTGATAAATGTCTAACTATGACTTGTATTTTGGGCTGCTTTTATATAAAAATAAAACGAAAATAAGCCATAAGAAATAATGACGAAATTTGAAAACAAAAACTAAAAAAGGAGAACGAAAAATAGCAGGTGCATATGATTACAGATACAGTATATACTGATTACACTCAAAATATTTTGCTTGGTCAATATGACTTGGTTTGTTGTTAAGAAGATAGAATATTGTTTCCATTTTTATGAAAAAAATAAACCAGTTTTCAATCATTCACATTAATATTTTAGCAGAAAAGAATCATATTATCTCAGATGTTCTTATATTATTTTTAATTTGTAGAAAATTTAAAAAAAAAAAAAATTGTTTATTTTCTTGAAAATTAATTGTATTTCAATTAAGGTTGAACAAAATTTAATTCATGAAGTCTTGTTTCTTTTGTTCGAGCTATTCTTACAATAAGATTAATTGTTTCATTTGTTTTGATATAATTAACTCTTGAACATGCAATAATTGTTCCTTGATCATCAGCAAAAACATCCGAAACTCGAAGTTGATTGATTCCAAGTTGAATACCATAATCCACAATATTTGTCATATCTGTACATTCAATATTTCCACATACAATAAACATATATAAAGGTTTATTTGATGGATATTCTGAAGCAATAAAATGAAAAACAGGTAAATCTGTATTTGGATCAATAACATGTTGAACTTGAACTCCAAATAATTTTGGTCTTTGTACTATTCTCGAAGGAATTGTATATTGTGATTGAATTGATTGTTTACAATCAGGATCAAGACATCGAATATGAGTTATATCTTAAATAAGAATTTTTATTTTCAAATAAATATAAACAAAAAAAACAAACAAAAGTTACCCGATTGTGATGTTTGTCCATTTGTTGATATAGAAAATCGAAATTGTGAATCAACAGCTAAATAAACAAAATAAACTAAATCTTGATTAACACTAAATTGAATTACAGATGTTTGATTGCATGATTGTGTTAAACAATGTATTAAATTTAATTCAGGTCCACATAATGTTAACCAAGTTGGGAAACCAAAACGATTACGTGCTACATCAACACTTGTTCCTTTACAATAAGCTTTTCCTGTAAGATTAAATGGTAATGAAACACGAGAATAGTCTAAACCTTGTTGACATAATGGATCTTGGCATATTTGTACTGTATAACCTGTAACACGATTATCTACAGATGCATAACGAGCTTCGGGTATGATCATTATAGGTAAACCTTCATGAGTAAATGTTAAACGTAATCCTGCTTGACCAAATCCTGGACTATTTACTGTATTTTGAATTAATGGTTTATTACATTCAGGATCTGATGGTAAACACATAACTAGTTCAACATTGTTATTCGGTGTTCGATAACCTAATGAAAGATAAAATTGAGCACCATTAATATAAGGAGAATATTGTTGAATACGACGAGGTGATACGCCAGCAAGTGCAAATTCCGCTGAATCTAGACCAGGCATAGAAAGAGTCGAAATTTTTGAACAACCACGTGTACGACATATAAATACGGTTGGTGTGTGATTATAACTATATTGAAATATTGATGGACGTTGATCAGGTGTTAATGAAGCTGAAAAATCTGTATAGAAACTTTCAGGATTAATTACCCAACTTGTACTTGATATTAATGAATATGGAAAGATTGATGAATCACTCCATGAAACAATGATCAGTAGAATAATAATTCGATACATTTTATTCAAGAATGAAAATAAAATAAAATAAAACGATGTATAGCTAATATCATATTTTAAATAAAAATATTTAAACAAAAAATGAGAATATTTACATCTGTTAATAATTACATTTGAAAAAAAATTATCAATTTTTCTTCTCTTGATATTCATTAATTATTGAGAGAATGTCTTTATAATTGTACTATTAATAATGAACTTTTCAATGGAGTTTCGAAGTAAAAAGTAATCTTCGTTAATTACTTTATTCTTTAATATGAGTACCACGTCATTTTTTTCTCTATATACTTATGCATGAAAACAATCTTTTAATATATATATATATATGTTAAAGTCATATTTAAATCAAAATGGAACAAGTATATTACTCTAAAATATATTAAGATCTATAAATAGAATATATGACGTGTTTTATATACGCAAAATAACATAAATTACGACTTCTCAAAAAAAAAGAGGTGCTCAAATAACAGTCGATATTTGAAACCTTACATAATCTATTAAGTTCATTTTTTAATATTGTTAACCTATTTTTGTGTACTCAAAAAGTGAGTACACTATAGAATCGGTCAGTGTGTCCGTCCGTCCGTTTACACGATAACTCTTCAAAGGGTAGTCCAATTGTGATGAAATTTTGCACACAGAATCGTCTTATCAATATCTCGGTAGAGTTCGAAGATAAGAATGATTCGTCAAGAAATTGCTGAATCATCGCAAAAATGTCATTATTTGCTATGCTTTTCTATGCAAACATTGACCTATTCCGGTTTGCGTAAAAAATTTTTTTCTCTCACAAATAAACAAAACCTCAGCTATTGTATACCATTCGATAGAGAATTTCACGGGCTACAAAATGGTATATAAAACATTAAGAAACCAGAAGACTAAGTCACCTATTGCAAAGATATTTAAACGAAAATTGCTTCTGTATTTTTACTTTTTGAAGTATACATAACATTCGAATTTAAATCCGAGGTTTTCACATTTATTTTATTTTACAATAAACGTTTGCTTTTAAAATTAGCTTTTGTTAATTTATATGCATCAGTATCGACGTTATTGTGAAGATCATTCTGAAATAAGAAAATTTTCTTCTTTTTTTTTTCTTATTTAATATACCATAGCTTCGAAAATAATTCGACTAGGTTTATTTTCAACAGAAATTTTTGAAAACAATTAGCAATTTCTTAAGAACATAGTCTTTGGAAAACAAAAAAAAGAATTTTTAATTTCCGAGAATTCCATTTGAGTTATTTTGAATGATAGAGCAAATAATTTTCTCTCCAAGGTAAAATGTCATTTAGTTTTCTACGACGTTTTTTGACCAGTATATGTCAATTTTTATAGAAAACACAAAAATGAAAAAATACGTATGAAAAAAAATAAAACTAAATATAGTTTAGTGCATTCTGTAAGATGGTAGTATGTCAGTCAAAAAAACAGTCGTGAACACCTGGAAGATATTTTTATATTATAGAAAATTATTTGCTCTATCATTTTGAGTTTTCAAAGATTCTATCTTTGTTAAACTAGCCATCATTTTCTTATGAAAGTGGAAATAAACTGAAAATAAACATGATCAAATCATTTTGAGAAACACAATATATATATATCGAAAAAAAACAAACTAATGTTTGAATTTGATCTTGAATTTCATTATCAATTAAAGTATTAAAATATTGTAAATGTTGTAAATTTTCATCAAAATTTTGAAATTGCTCATTTGAATAGATTGGATCTTGTTCGATATGAACTAAATTTTCATTAGATTTATTTTTTTGAATTTTATTTAATGATGAATTTCTTGATTTAGATTTTTTTGTTTTTGATGGACAACATAAACGAATACAAAAACTTCTTTGTAATTCATCGATTTCATGTTCAACATCTTTAAGATGTTTACTTGATTTATCCATTGTTGTTTGACATTGTTCTAAAAAAAAAACAAACTTTTGACCCGCTTTTTTTTTTTTTGTTTTTATTAGTCTCTTTGACCTTATATTTCTGTTTTATAGGTGCGTTTCCTTTTGTTTCTATTATTTTTTTCTATGAATAATTAAACAAACCTATTTGTTTTGTTTGTAATGTGTTGATATGATGAGCTTGAGATGCAAGTAATTTTGTTCGTTGCATTGAATTCTCAAGTTCTTTTACTATAGAATTAAAATCATCTTTTGTAAAAGATATTGGATTTTCTGACATATTTCTTTTAATATCAAAATAAATGAGGCACAAAATCTATGACTTATATGAATGAATGAATATGTTCTATTTAATAGGAAATAGTAACTAGAACAATAAAAATTTTCAATAGAATAGTAAAAATAAATGCGCTTAATGTAAATCTAAATTATCTTTTGAAATAGAAATAAGTTGTTGTGATGATTCATTTGACGTATTATTATCATCTAAATGTAGTCGATGAATTTCACATTGTGCTGTTGTTAATTGATGCATATTCATATTTGTATAATTAGTAGGCATTGTTGATCGTTTCAGTTCTTCATTATAACTTATAGTATTTGTTCGATTTTGATACATATTATTAAATGGAGAAAATATTCTTGTTGGAAAAAATTGATTTTCTCTTGTAGAAATTAATTGATGACGATGTCGATTGAAAAAAATTGCATATAAATGTTTTCGAAATAATTGTCCTGTTAATGTATAAATATAAAAATGACCAGCATAATAAATTTGTTGCATAAGCATTAATATAACTTTTCGAAACCAATCAAAACAAGAACGTTCACGACCAGTATAATTAAATATATCATTAATTTCAGTTGGTAAACAAAGAATAAGAAATGTCAATGTTGTACCAATTAACATCCAACATAATTGTATATCTTTATCACGTAATTTTATTTTTTTTTGTTCTTTTAATGTTTTTCGAAATGTTGGTGGAATAGTTTCTCTTGAATAAAATGTATAATAATAAAATTTACCTTTTTTATTATAATGTATTGTTTTTCGTGTTTGAATTATTTGAAATATAATTAATAATGAACATATAAACATAATAGAAAATGGTATAAGAATTAAAAAAATACTTTCAATATATGAATCATAAAAATGAAATAATTTCTTATAGAAAATATTTTCTTCACGTATATTACAATCATAGAATTGATTTAATTGTTTATCATTTAAATAAATTTTTTCATAACCATATAATATATGTCCATTAGCAATAAATACAATAATTATACTAATAAATACAAACCATTTGCCTCTGTGAATATTACAATAACGCTTTGAGCGTGATGGACAATAAATTAAAATAAATCGATCTCTAAATAAAAGAAGAAAAAAAAAAGATTTCTATTTAATAGATAAATATTCCATAGGATAGTTTACATTAGAATATTTAATATAAAAATAAATATAATTTTCATTGCTTATGTTGATTTTTACTAATTAGCTTTCTGACATGACTTTGAATAAAGCTAACTTTTTAACCCTTATATTATTTTATTTGTAACAAAAGTGGTAGTATAATAAGAGGGTTTTTTTAAATAAAAATGAAGAAGGTTTTTTTTTGTATAAAAGATACTTTCTCTTAATCAAAGCTAATAGTATATGTGAGAAAATTACCGTTTTTTTTTCAACTCTTAGAAAAAAGAAGTAGAGTCTTCAATGATGAAACATATCATAGTGGTATACTTTTAACAGCTGTTCTACGATGAATATCATACTACATTAGAACAAATATTTTCTAAAGGGAGACATATTTTCTAAGTATCGTCATTCACTCTCATCTTCATACTGTCTTGTATCATTTAGAAAACAATGAAAAAGAAAACGTTTTCTCATAAAAATATATCAATTAGAATAAACTTCTGCATTCATAGTGGTAAAACATCTATTAAATAAATATTTATTATATAAAATGTCTCTTATCTATTTGATAAAACTTACACTGATGCTAATGTAAGTACAATATTTGATAAATGATTCGATGAATAAATAAGAAATATTATTATTTTACAAACAATTGTATGAACAATTATTACATCTATATGAAAGCTATATGGTAAATTTTCAATAATCATTGTTAATAAATGTATTGCATCACTTATTGCTAATACCAAGAAATAAAAACAGCATGATTTTCGTCCTATTTAATACCAAGAAAAAAAAAAAAAAAAAACAATTCCTTTTTGAAAATTCAAAGATTATAATTTTAAAAGACTTACGAAGAGGTTTTCTTGCAAAAACACAAATACTCAATACACTTGAAATGATTCCAATAAGAAAAATAAATGTACCAAAATAACGTATAATACCATTTGTAAGAGTACATTTTTTATAATCATTGAATATAGAAATATTTGTATTATTTTTCATTTTTTTTGTTTAATAATTTGTCGAATAAATAACACTTACGAATAATATAACGATTATTTCTAAAAATTAATATATTTCTTAATTTTTATTTTTCTTTCGAATACAAAAAGTATTAGTTGAAGACTAGCAATTAAATAAGAACGTTTTAGTTCTCGTGTCTAACACTAATAGAATGAATTGAGCAAAAAAAGAGAGAAAAAAAGGGAAAGAAAAAGAAAAGAGAACATTAGCTTTGAACTATTTTCTTAGAGAGAGAGAGAGAGAGAGAAACAGAGACATTCGACTCTTTTTATATAGAAAAAAAACAAAATTTTTAATATTTGCGGGTATGGAAACATTTCCGTTTCTAAATGCTTCATGTTTCCTTTACACAAACCAATTGTCTGGAATAATTTTTTCTAGTACTTGATTGAAAATCAAGTTAACCCTAATTGATAGTTTCTTTCATAGATATATATTCAATATAAAAGAAAAAAACTTTGTGTATAATTTTCTTAGTTGATTGATCGATTTCAATTACAACTGTCATCGACACTTGAATATAATCAGCATTGAAGTTCAATATAAAATACAATGTCTTTATGTGGGTGTATGCATAGAAAATCTTGATAGAAGACCAACACTATATTATCTTTTAGTCATTTCTGTAATAGATTATATGTAAATATGTTTAGAAAACATCATCCATTTTCGATTAAGAGAACCACTTTTCATAGTTAGTTTACAGATCACGTCAAGCTAAGATGAAAACTAATTTATATTTAGTTTATTCTCACTTTTATTAATCAATAAGAAACAATTACAATAGATCTATTTCGTTTGTTTTTTTAATATGACAATCACATACTAATACATCGAAAAAGCTTTTAGCGTAATTTCTATAAGATTAAAATGTGAAACATGATGTAGCTATTCTTGCTAATCATGAACGATTGTTTTATTCTATCTATTTTGAAAACATATTTCTTCACAAATTCTTTTACTTACTCTTTCGAAAAGTGCAATAAGGAAGTAGATCATACATTAAAAAAAGAGATGTTATCGATATGTTATCTTTTATCGTATATCAATAATGTCTGTCACAGTCTGGAATGATTCACATTTTGGCTCTTCCACTTCAATACCCCCTTTTAGTTCGTATTTCACGGAAGTAATTATAATCTAGACAAAATGTAACTCTTTTAAGATATTTTCTATTACATAGTCTGGTATTCTCTATTATTCTCAATCTTCAAAATATGAATATGAGTTTTAGTTCTATTTCCCAAGAGAAGATTTCAATATCATTGATTTCTATACAATATAAAAAATAATGTAGGTAAAAGCAAAGTGTCAAATTATATTAACTGAGATGGTTTAGAACATATTGATGAATTGAGGTAACAATGTTCTAGGTTGTAATATATAATGATTTATGAACTATGTAATGTACTAGCTTCATCAGATCAAAGTCTGCATTTATTTTAGGTCACATTACATTGTATTTTTCATTATTCTAGTACTTTAACAGATGAGTTTAGTTTCATGACAGTTAAGTCAACAGATACTTAATTAAATGTGATCATAAAAGACAAATCTATTATTTAGAGAAAAAAACAACTTCATATGACAAAGTCATTATGATACGAATGCAACTGTGTATTCCATCAATTTCAGTTTTTTAAAGTATGAATTAAAAAATCAAATGAATTTCGTTTTGCTCGCTCATATTATATTAAACAAAATTTTAAAAATTCGGAGATATACTAAACCTTCAAATAGTGGAAATTTATCAAGTTCTAGAAAATCAAGTGGAATTCATTATTTGAACCTATTGAACTTGAATTATCTATGTCAATATTTTCTAACTCCTTCAATAGGATTGTGTCACTGTTTTTCGACTCACCGTCATTGTAGAGTGGCTTAAATTCTTTCTGATTGATCAAATTTCAACTGAATTACTAGTGAATTTCCAACTTCTGGATGGTGGATGTAGCAAGTTTTGAAGTTTATGAGAGGTCGTGTCAACTTACTTTTGAGCGTTTTCTGTTTTAAAAAAGTGAAACCTCCCGGAAGGGGAAGAGACGCTCGTCTCCGTTGCATTCTTTAAATCTGCTACTGCGAGATATGTTTTTTTTCTTCATCTATTTACTTAAATATTAACGATCACGACTATACGTGGCTATGACTCGTGATCAATTTGTAAATATCTAGTCCATTCTTGTACTATTCGTTCATATATCTACATAAATTTGTTCTAAACCTAAATTCACTTTTTCTTCTTTTTTTTTTTTTTTTATTAAAAGTTTGACTCCCACTCATTGTGTCGTTAACAAATTGCAAATGAAAGAGAAAAAAAAACAAATTTTAATTTGTCCATCGTGTTACTCATGAATATTTAAAACAATCGTAGTAAAAGTGGCAAGGCACTGTCTATTGGATATTAATATTTAAGACATCATCACGTCGGTTGTTACAGTAAGAATATGAATTTCAAAACTGTAGTTACTCATATTAGACTTTTGTTCACATTACTAATGGTATGCCGTTGAGGCTATAGTTGATCGTTCAAATATAGAACTACCACCGGTATAGCGTACATTTTATCAAATGATATACTGATGGTTGATTAACGGTTTGAATAAGATCGGTACTACACGTTATTAATGCAAGTTGGTTATGAAAAGAAATGTTCTATAGTATAGTTGATGAATGATCTGATACTAACTTAGCGAACCAGAGACCGAATCGTTATAGTTCGGTTCGATTTTTGTTTCTGATATCAAACTATCGATCAAAACGTTGTTTGATCATTGCCTAGAACATCATAATTTTCCAAAAAGATTGATATCTGAGTCAATCATTTTTCTTAT